AAAAAAAAAAAAAAAAAAAAAAAAAAGAAGAAAAAAAAAAACAGGTAAGAACTGCCTCTTTTTTGCATTATATTTAAATGCTAAGAATATATTTAAATTCAAAATGTTTATTCCTTTTGTGGTTTTTATTTTTTAGTGCATGAAGCACAAAGTCAGACTAAATATGAACACACGAATTTCACAAAATTTACGTTAAAAGGGTAATCGTGATTTGCTCTGAATATGTTGTTCATTCATAAACGTGTTAGAACAATTCTACAAATGATTCTTTCTGTTGAGCACCGGGTCCTGGGAAAAGTAACATCAGCATTAATTTAATATTAATGTTAATATTAATATTAATGAGCTTCATCTCAGTGGGTCTAATCGCACACCACTCTCATACTCATGCGTGCACTTAGAGAAAAAATTTTTCTTTTACAAAAAAAATTATATTATATTTAGCATGCATGGCTCATTCTAAATTTTCACATTGCTCTGAAATAGAAGGATTTTACAACTTATTTGTTGTAACAGGACTTATTTTTATAACAGTACAATGTCACAGAACGGAAAACAACGAAAAAAAAGAAGGAAAAAATTAATCGGTTTAACATCTATTTTTTTGAAATGCACGGGACATGTAATATCTTAATAAGTACACTCCTTTTTTTTGCTCTGTTAAATTTATCTTAGAAAAATTTTCCTTTACCGAATTTTTATTTTCTCATTTTCCCCCCTTTTTTTTTTATGCACATTTATTCATAAATATTGTATATATAAAATTAAGATCTTATGAAATTTAAGCAACGGTGAGTTCAATAGCTGGAAAAAGTTTGTTATTAATAGAGTTGTTGTAAGCACGCTTATTATATATATAGCTGTATTTATTAAAAGTGCAATTTTAATTTGTTCTCACACACGTATGGATTTTTTTGATTATAACTCAGTTTCGTCATTTTAATGCCTAAAGGTACATTGAAATTTTTATGTATTTGTTGAAATGTTGTTGTTTATAGCTAGGCATTTGGTAATTTATTCAGAATTTTTTACTGTGCATATGAAAAGTTTTAGCCTCATAAGTTGATTAAAGGAACAATTTTTTCAATTATATGTACATGGAAAATTGTTTCAGCGTTGTACATAGTGTACACGTGATGCGATGAGAAATAAAATTTTATTCCCATTTGCCCCCTTTTCGCTCTTATATATATGGATTTAATTTTAGTTTTTTTTTTTTTTTTTTTTTCCTATGCTTATAACATTTTTTCTTTTCCTACTGCGATGACTTCATAACTCATGCCGGACATTGTGTGGTTAAGGAAAAAAAGAATTTGAGAAACCTCTAACCATAAGTACATGATCCTTTATTAACAATTATCTGATTAAACATGGTCATATGAATTAATCTACTAAATTAAACCTCAACACAACAATTAATAAATGGCATTTGGAATTAAGGAATAAGTGATGCATCTAACATTTGTTATATTTGCCTCCTGTTATATGCAATCCTGATTATAGTCAATGCCATAGTACCGTTGCGTGAGTGGGTAGCCCAGCCTAGGGAACTCATTCATCCAAAGACAAGGGGAAATAAGAATGCATTTTTAGTGTGATATAGGGTTACAGGAGTAGTTATAAGCCAGTGTGACATATATTAAGGTAGTAAAAATAGTGCGATCATATGAATCATTGTGAATGATTACCGTGTGGGAGATATTTTTTTAAGGTTTAAGCATTGTAGATTTTATTCAACGCCAACATGCGTACGATGCTTAGTAAACAGTAATTATCCGTTATACATTCTAATGCCCTGTTCACATTGTCTTGTTACTTTACCGTATCTTGTAATTTAAAGAGTGCGCATAATAATGTTATTTTGAAATTCCAAGTTAACTACATTCAAAAGTTATTCTGTTCAAGGGATCTTCATTTCTAAATTAATAATTTTACGCATAAGACGATTATGCTCAAAATAAACATTAACCTTAGCACGAAGGACAAAATATGTGTATGCGAACAATGCATGTTCTATAAAGTGAAAATAAAATGTGCGCATCTTGTTAGTTATTACTATTTTTAATACTATTACAGTTAACGGAAAAATTGGTCATAATATATATGCTCCCTTAAATGTAATATCAGTATAGTTTAGGCATGATAAATAGAAAGCTTACTAACTTTTGTGCCGACACCGTAATTATTTTTATAATGAATTTTGATTTTCCATATTAGAGAACAAGCAGGTGGTTGTCATAATGGTAGGTAGATCCTGATCGAATGCACATATTTGTTATGCTAATTTGAGGAGTAATTATATATCAAGGAAGCAATCATAACTTTTATAATATCTCCTATGGGCACATTTGAGCCTGGCCTGTGAACGGTTTTATTTTGTACATTAGAAAAATGTTCAAAGGGTAATTTATAAAACAAATTGAGGAATTCATTATTTGGATGAATAATATGCCTCATGAAGGTAATTATATTAGTTCATGATATTTTAATATACACAGAGGAATGGTGCGATTATTCAAACTGCTATTTAGAAAAATATAGCACGTACATGTAGGAAAAAGAAAACAAAAGGGGGAGTAGTTTTATATGGATAAAAAAATGCAATTACTTCAGAATATATAGTTAATAAATTAACATTTTATTTCGTATCGAGGAATATACAATAAGAAAGAAAAAAAAGTATGATGATAAATGAAACAATAGGTTACTGAATTTTGTTATAGTTACCTTAACGGAGTGTGTGTTTTTACTTTTGTATGTATAAAAATTAGATATCTGTTAAAATTTGTAGATCGAATGCAACATTTTGTAAGGTTGGTATCGTGACATACTAATCTTCTTCTACTCGACTTGAGCATATAGTTCTCATATTGTGCGTCAGGTGCTTCATCTTGAGCACTTATTTTAATGCATACCAACTCGTACTACTGCCTAGTACCGACATAACTGCTATAGTTAGGAGCGAAATAGACGACACATACTATATTGCTATAAAAACTTTAGGTGTTATATAAATAATTCCAAGAACGGGAACCCTTGGAACAGGAATTTTTTTTTTTTTCGCAACACAAGATAAGGAGCTGTCGTATTTGGGTTCACATTGAATATGTTTGTGACCATTGATAGGTAATTTGGATATCATGGGACGTTGCGATATTAGTTCCAGTGCTTATTCCAATTTTAACGACAACATTGTTTAGCTTGCGACAGGCTTATAAGGCGGAATCATATACTATACAATGCCATAAATGTCCCAGTAATGGCATTCTGTAAGATTCAGCATAAGTTTGCTTCAGTCAGAAAGGGACTGCAGTATTGTATGGACTTATAGGCCGCATAGACATATTTCATGGAACAGGATACAATTGCTTTCGTGCAATTATTACATACGTTTTTGATTACACATCTTAATATAATCCGGAAAATGCAATTAGTACGACATTTCAGATGACCAATGACGGTTGGGTATTCAACTATTACTACCTCATTTAACATGGGAAGGTGGTGGATTTGTATAGATAGTTGGAAGGGTGTATGACAAAATGTCAGAGGCAGGATACATATCTAATGCTTCGCATCGGTCAATTAAAGAATATAATGACAATAAATAAATACGGTACACATGAAAGTGCCAACACAAAAAAAGGGGGCCTGGGGGAGGAACATTCTATTTGTTACTATGCGAGTGTAATGGGGGATGCACTAATATTCTTATAGTGATATAGTGTGAAAGGCGTAGGTATATGAACACTGCCATTCTTTGGAGTACACTAATATTTATAATGCATTAGTGCATGAAGTGTACGAATATTCCGGAACTATTTCCTGAAGACTTGTGATGTGTTAGAATTTTTAATGGTGATAATTGCGGAAGTTTCCGCTGTGTTGTTATATATGAGTGCACCACCACTGGTTGAGCTATGTCGGAATAATCTGGAGTGTTATTATTTTTGAAGAGTACCATTCTGCGTGCGGATTGGTGTGCACTCATGATTACACGACTATCCTTGGAATATTACTATATGAACGACTTATATATGTAAGTTTAAGGGCACCATTATATAAAGACAACGACTGTGCACAAATCCTGGGATTCGCCTGGAATACTGTTTATAAAAGAGTGTCGCCGTTGCTAAAATATCAAAAGGTGCGGCGATTAGATCCATTTTGCCGAAATACTGTTTCCACAGTGATATGCATAAACATAAGACATTGACGAGTGGTTATTTTGTAAAAAAGCATAAAGGCGAAAGAAGACGGACATGTTGCGACAAGAATGGTGGTAATGAAGTATATACGTGGGGGCAAATTGGACACACGTGACCAAATTGTCCATTTTGAAGGAGGAAGGAATATATAGGTAGAACCACATATAGATGACTTAGGAGTGTTAGCAAATGGGAACATGTACATGAAAAGGGAAGTGTGAAAGGCAGCGTAACAAAATGTGTCCAAAAACAACTTTAACCGACAGGAGTTAATTCCCTATCAGACAGTCGGATAGTCCACTGCAAATTTTTGTCTATTTTAAAATATATTCGATTGCTTGCAAATAAAGGGAAATATATGCAGGCACGAATCTGATTCCATATATTAATTCGTGCGATGCTTCCCTCTTCTTTTTTTCGTTCATATTCAGTGCCATTGCTTGAATTACCAAATTTGTAATTTTATTACCTTGCACGGGGTCGTAGTGCCCCGTGTTGTACATGTTTGTGATTTTACACCTAAAAGTGTATTTATTTTTTTCATTAAATGTTAGCAACTTTTTGGAGACCTATTTTGTTTTCGTAAAAAATGTAACAAATATTTTGGTGTCATCAGCAAGTTACCGCGTTCGATGTTCTCACAGTTAATGCAAAGTGCTTCGTCTTATCGTATTTGATCCTGCGCACACGGTGACGACTGTCGTGACCCAAGGTGGTAAGTAATTATATTACGTCGCATGGCACAGCTAGCCGAAGGTTTGTCATGGAAGGCGTGTTCTTTTTTTTTTTTTTTTTGTTTATGCTCCCCTTGGCCTTATTTAACACAGGGGATATTAGAATTTTTCTGATTGCCCTACATGCATTTCATTTTTCCGCATTGTTGATATGTCCTTGGAGATTGAGGGTACAGGAGCCCATAGGATTAATGTTTTAAATTAGAATGGTCATTCACTATTCTTGCACACAACACTATTCTAGCCCTTGAGGCTTCATGAAAAACTTAATCAATCTGATTATATGCGTATTTTAATTCCATCATCGTGCCCTTATAATTCTTGGCATATGGTTATATACATAATTCCGCGCGGTTCGCGGTTTAGGGATTGAGGTTGCGGGTTCACGGAGCGCAGAAATTTTTTATTTTTCATGCGAAACCTTATCATAAAAAAAAAAAAAAAAAAAAAATTTAATTTAGTTCATATTAAATATAAAGAAACGCTCTATTTTTTTTTTTTTTTGTTTTTGTTGATAAGGTTTCGCAATTATAAATAAGTTGTATTATAAGAAATATATTGTTTACTTAACAAGCAGTAATATATAAGGTGGTAGATTATAAGAAAAATAGTCCAAGTTTGGTACATTATTTGTACATCATGAGAATTGTACCTTCCCAATATATGGGTGCATATAAAAATTATATGGTAGATTTAAACGTTACGGGAAAGTTTAATATAGAAATAATTCAATAATACTTTTTATATAAATGATAATAAATGGAACTAATATAATTATTCATCCATAGAACAATTAATTCCATAATTATAAATATAACATATGGCATATTTATGTAAAATCTCAAGATTACACTTAATTTTCATTTTTTAAAATAACGTCATCATATGAAAAATATGGAAGGAACAATATTTTGGGACTTCTCTTATACATGTGTTTCTGTATGAATTAACATTAAGACTATATTTTAAAATATTGTACAGTTGATATATAGGAAAATCGAGAATTTTACAGTATTCTTTTAATTACATAATTTTGTGAATAATGAGATCTCTGTATATATCTAATAACTTACACAGATGTATTACAGTGTTAATGCCATGAAATGCAATAAGAGAGGAAACCCTCTTATTAAATATATTACATTATTTCCTTTTATTTGGGTATGTAATAAATGTAATCATAAAGTATTATAAGAATATTTTATATTTATTCCATATTTTTTATATACATTATTTTTATGGCGCATAATGTTTTTTTTCTGTTGTATAGACATAGTTGTCTTTGTAATCTATATTATTTTTGCACTTAGGTTTCATTTTGCACAGAATTGGAAAATATCTCTAATGGCAAGAATTCCTCACTAATTGCAGAATATAGGCCATTATTAGAATACTTAAAGGAAGCGGAGCTTTACGAGAGTGAATTGGAAGATTATTTATTAAATTGCAGGAGTAATAAAATAATAACATTTCCGGATAATGGACCAGTGAGAGAGGGTAGCAATGGTTTGACCCTATATGATATATTGCTGAAGAGTTGTTCAATTTGTTTGACAATTTATAAAGACAAACTTAAGCGTAAATATGCTGAAAGTAAAGGTTTAAGAAGACTAAATTATTATTTTGAACAGAAAATATTTGATGTGATTGATAGTATAAATGAAAAGAAATTACAGAGTAAAGGTTATGTCAGAACAATAATAGGAAGTATAGTTAGAAAATGGAGTATACGAAAGATTGCAAAAGTGTGCTCAATTCCATTGATTGGAATAATATTGCTAATAGCGCTTGGAATCAGTGCAATTACAACACCTGCCATGCTTAATGTCTTTGCTGGGATATCCGGTATTGTTTTTACATTATTAACATTTGCAATTTTATTTGTACCCATGTATACTATGACCAAGGTTGTTAAATATTATGGATTAGAAGCTGGACTGGATGAATTGAACTTTTGGGAATTTTGTGTTTTTTGGCACCACATATTTTTTCCTAAAGGATGTAAGAAGTAATATTTAAAGTAATGCATAAACACAGAAGGAATGCTACATGATACAGTAAATATAATTCTGCTTATATTTTAGATATAAGACAGCAATCTTATGTACATTTGGACATTTGTATTTTTTGATCCTACGATTCTTCCCCCGTGTGATGTAGAATCATAGTAATATGGGAATTAAATTTCCCTTGCTATACATAATATTATAAATTAACCTAAATAATTAATGTATTAATGATTTGTTTACACAATGCAAATACATTTTTTTTTGTCATTAGTTGAAAAATAAGTAATTCAATTGAATTTGTTACAAAAGCACATTTGTATTAGAATCAATTCACATGTGTACAATTCACATTTTTGTTTAATGTGAAAAATATAATGAATTCATTCGTTCATAAAAAATATATGTTTCTATGAATTATTCTTCCTTAATACAACAATAGTATTCTACTATGATAGGAGGATATTTGTAGTACTATGGTTCACTATTACATGTTGAATTCTGTACCTAATAAATATGATTATATTCTCCATGTTTTTGTTTTGTTTTTTATTATAAAAATATAACAATTTCATACTTTTTTTTCTGTTATAAATTAAACTTTTATGTGTAGATTAAATTCTACACTGCATAGTCTTAATTCCAGTAGACGACGCACATAAATAAGATGCAGATGAATATATTGTTCAACATTTATCTCATGGCATTTGTAAGGAATGAAAACACGTATAGTTCGCTCAATAAATACTTCAAGTTTCACCCGGCGTACATTATGTAACGTTAAGCGATAAGAAAATTTTGAATATCGGTTAACACCTCCAGGGAAAAAATCTGTGTTTACGAAATATATAATTATATACGAGTATACATTTTCAACTACATCATTTAACTTCTGATAGACATAAAATACAGGGGCGCGTCTCTATATTTTTTCAAAAAAAATGCGTTATACCCATAAAGGTACACACGCTATGGGACCTGGCGCAACCCCCGTATAGCATCCATACTTTATAGGTTATCCCCCTCCCTCGAAGTATACGCATGATATGCAGATCATCACGCACAAGCAAGAGTAACACACTTTCGTACGTAAGAATGAGACGACACGTTTACGCATCCCGGGAGAAACACAAATGATTACTAGCGGGCTGAACAAAATAGAGATGTACCTTGCTTATATATATTAAAAAAGAATGTGACTGCCAGTAAAAGGGCCTCATGCTTCATATGAAATCTATACCACCTGCTGCTCATTTATTTCTTGTTATAGGATACCCTATCTGTCTACGTGTATGTGTACATGTATATTCATTAATATCTATACAGACTTCTAAAACAAATGGGAGTTCCTTGAAGTACGTAAACCCTGATTATGATATGTATAAACTACACCTAAATGTTGAATTTTGAATATGACAGAATATTCAAAACCTGAATGTTAAAATTGCACTTAAGAACGGAATTCCTAACCGCTGAACCCTAAACCCTTGAACCCTAACCCCTTACGCATAAACATATGACTATCGATAACATATTTCAGATACATTTTATCAATATAAGAACTAAATGCGGAACAGTTTCGGCATTTATCTTTATGTGAATTGTTGCTCATTGTACCTTCATAATTTTTATAAATAGTTGCACAAATCCGTTTCTGCATCTATATCCGCTATCGTGCCAGATAATTGGTAATGGCAAAATGTGTCTTTCACCTATTTTTCATTAGTTTAGTACAGTACACCTGGTGTATTGCCGTATATACATAATTATTAAATGCTGAATTCGGTAAAATTTAAATTCGCTGATATATATCATGATGATTAAAGTTTATAGTTATTAGAAATAAAACTATTTAAAATTATATGGCAATGAGAAATGTCCTAAAATAAAGGCAAAGACGGAAACAACGTAATAAATGGAGTTACCTCTAAATATTATACGACGGAATGAACTAATTTTTACCATATGAGTTAGGGGAAATAATTAACTAAACAAAAATTTTTAATTGTCATATACATATATGTACAAGATAAAGAGGTATAATATTTGAAACAAATATATGTTATATACATATTATATATTACGGAAACAATGGGAATTGGGAATTAATATATCATGTATATACTTATAAACAATACATGTTATATTAATAAAGAGAATCAAATTATAATGGCTATATATTATTCTGACAGAATAATACGAATAGTAAGTGTGGAATAATATAAAAAAAGAAAAAGAATAGCAAATACAATATGAGTAAATTTATGTGTAACATAACCCACGATACTAATGTCTCATAATACCTCAAAATTAGGACACACATTCTATTCACTACTTGTGTATTAATTTTAGATATATAATTTATTCACTACTTTTTTTTTTTTTTTTTTTTTTCTCCTGGACATCCTGAATTCATTATATTTCTTCTTTATATTCTTTATGAACCTCCTTTTATATACATGGAACCATTCTAACTTACCCTTGTTATTTAGGTATAAGATTATAATATAAATAAGGGTCATGACTCCAACAGCTATTAAGGATGGGAATAATGCTTGTAGTACACCGTATAGTGTGCCATATGAGGAAGCTATATTAGCACCCTGAAATACGGAGTTTGTGACGACAGCGGTCGTATGTATCGCATTATTTAGTGTGCATTTCGCAGCTGAGAATACAGAACTTAATAGAGAAGTAAACCCAGAAAAGCTACCCAATGCTTCCTTTGCCGCGTCAACCACACACTCTCCTACTTTAGCTGCAATGCCAGG